GAATCCATTCCAACTTAACCTTTGACCAGGTCTAAAAGGGTCTGGCATTTCAGCCGAGCCAAATAGGGTTTCGTGGCAGTCTCAACCCCATTGAAATAGCGTATATGAGCCGAAATTCTCATGTGGAAAGGGGATAGAGGGTGGCTATGCATACAAGTCGGCGTATGCCTAGTCAAGTGTGTGTATGCGAGAGGCAGAGACACTCACAAGTGTGCAGCAAAGCTGACGGATTCGCGGTGGAAACGAGGCGAGTCCGTCAAAAGTCGGCCATCGAGCCGAACTGGTATCGAGAAGAGTCGAGCGGGCACACAGGCTTATCCACCAAGACAACTGTCTATCTGCTAGCCTACACAGCCTGATACAGATGCAAAAAAAGAAACAAAATGTATCGAGTCTCAACTCGACAACTGGGAAGCTGGGGTCCCATAGGGCCGGAAGCATAAAACCAAATCCATTTGATTGGCAGGTGCCCGACGTAGGCACACTTTTGTCCACACGCACGATAATTTGTGCGTTCATGTGAAGATACAGATGTGTTTATGTGAATATGCTTATCGGGAGGTGAACCGATGGTTTTTTTCTAAGAGGGGAAGCATGGTATACTTTTAAGTTATGTCAAGGCGCCTTCATCTGTATGGCCCAGCTGCACCTACTTATCAAGGATCATTGCGACGCGAGGCAAAAACGTGCATTTCACTATTCCACAAGTCCACATCTGAATTGTTGCACTTGTAATGTAGGAGAGAGAGCCTCTCCTATGAACCATTTGTCTAGCGTGTAGCTCTCAGATCAGACATTTCAAAGAAGACGGAAAAATAAGAAAATATAAAATTAAATTAAATTTAACAGTCTCCGCTTTCTGCTGCTTTTTGATCTAGTCGAGGCTGTTGTGTGACGAGAACATTCGATCTTCACACGATCATGTCGAAAGGTTGGCCAATGTAATTTGTGGGATTTGGAAAAGAGAGAGAATTGAAAACCTTTGTACAAGAAATATTTGAGTGCATCGATGGATTTGTATTGTATTTCTATTTGTACATGAATATGCAAATAGATCTTCACTTCTGCTTTGTTCAGAAGTTGTGACGCATGGATGGATCTATTGACCCCTTTGTAGCACAAACCTCTTCCTTTAGGTTGTGAAGTGTATTTGCTCAACAGGCCGTTTGAAGGACTGCTTAAATAGATATGAAGTTTCTCGGTATGGTGATTCGCGGAGGGTAGACACGCGACGGTCAACAATACCTGCTGTCGCGTGTCCGTTTCCGCCAGTTTTCCCTGTCGGCTTGGCAACCAAGTCTTTTGATTCACTGGGGCGGAGTTGGTAGGACACCCTTTGAGTTGACCCCCTGCCATCGCCCCAGCTCCGGTTGTCCAGACTGCCCCGCACTTCTGTCCTCCTGGCATCACCGACGGACAGAGGTCCAGCGTGATCTCGTCTTTGCTTGGCCTGGAAGCAAGCCTGTTTGGCTCGACCGAGTATGGAGACACCACCTGCTGCTAGGGCTGGAGGGCAGGTGGAAGCTGTATCGAGAGGCTCTCTGGGGGTCCAGATTCGAAAAGGTGAACAACTGGTCGGCTTTTAGGAAGGTTAATTTCTAGTCATGCCTACGGGGTCGGGGTGTACATCCCTGATTGGTGCGATTGTGAGGTAGGCGCAAAATATACGCGTTTTCGTCTGAGAGCCGGGTTGACCGCCCCGGATACAATGGTGATCCCATCGAAGTGTTGGGTGGATGGTGGCAATTGAGTGTAGCCTGGGCGACAGGGTGGGATACGAGCTGTGTAGGTGAGAGGCGTGCTGGAGATTGGATTTTTGGAGTAGACTCTGCACAGACAACAACAGAAGCCGCATCATTTCCTGAAGTGGTGAGACAAATTAAACCAGGTTGCCTGAGTTGGAATTGTGTCCGGCAAAACAGCATTATCTGAAGAGCATACGTTTCCAACTCTACCAAGTCAATTGAGTCTTCGCTAGCTTCAAGGGGCCTTCAAGACTTACGTTGTGGTTGCTAGACTCAGCGATGACCTCGATCACTTCAGACTAAAGCTTTGGCAATTTCCGTCGCTTAGCTACAATCCGCCTCATTTGGTAGCGACGGCAAGATGGGTCATGGGCAACCACAGAATGGCAGTTTGCTCCGTAGGAAGAACATTGTCCTGTACCAAATCAGTTAATTAATATGTTGGCTTTGGGCACAGTTTCGCCCAGATTCACTCATAGGCAGTGGCATTGGGAAGAAATATGAGTAGAGTTCTGGTTGTTTTTCTGAATTTTCTGTAAATCTCGATTGCTCAAAAATATCCTTTGAACACGAATTCTACTTACTCTAGGTTGCATAAGATGATAAAGCACGGAAAGTGGCATTTACGCACAATCACATGAGTAGGACTCTCGTTTCCATAGCATTTTATTTAGCCTTGCTTGACTGGACTACAGTTTCGACTTATCCATAGTCTCGT